AAATTTCAGTGAAAAAAATGGGTAATGTGAAGGATAAGCGTAGGAAAAGCAATAACAGTAGTTTTTTTTGCAGATATGAAACAAGAACTGTTTAGAATATCATTGCTTCTTGTGAAATATGCCGATAAATCAGAAAACAAAAAGTGAGAAGAAAAAGAAAAAAATGGGGAGGACGGGGAGGGAAGGAAAAAATTAATGATATTATGCATGGATCTTTTACATGTGACATAAAAATTCAGTGGAAAAGCAAGCTTATATGCACTTTTTTCCTTTCTTTTTTTTATTTCTTTAAAAAAATATTGTTTATATTCCATCAAACAGTTTGTTGGCAAGTCAATAATGTAACGGGATGGCACATGCAAACACACACATATACCACAGACAACCACATGCATACACCAAAACTCTTTTCATTCCTGGTATTCGTTCTACTTTTTTCCCCTACCCCCCTCTCCCTGTAATAATGTCGGTTTCAGTTTTCTGGAGAAAAAAAAGAACAGAAATAATGAAAACCAAAGAAAAGAAAACAACAACAGAAAAAAAAGCTATTGGCATATTAAAAATAAAAAAAAATGAGCAAAAAAAAATTGTGAGGCATCAGTTTTAGGTATTATAGATTTCTACCAATTGAATGTGTCAAAGTCCAAAATAATTGCAGTGATATGTGTGTAATGCACTACGGAACCCTAATATATAGGCTCCGAAGAGCGTTTTATCGTTCGGTTCTGAAGCTGATGTGTCAATTTCCAATTCCACATTTCTTAAAAAGGTTGTTTTTTTTCTAGCTTTTTTTTTGCTTTGTTTCTTTTTTTTTTTGCTGATAATTTATCTGTCTGTTTGTTTTCTAATTTACCAATGTTTTTTTTCCTTTTTTGCCTTTTTTGAAGAAGGAAGTGAAGAAAAAGAATGATATAAAATCTTTTTGAAATCATAAATTTCTATACTTCTTTCGTAACCCTGTAATCTTGTTTCACTTCAATCCCCTAAGCCCTTTCTCCCCCCTCCAAAAAAAGAAAAAAAAGTGCTGATTATGTTGATTAAGTTGCTTTATATTATCACCAACACCATCACCATCATTGTTGTCGTCTCCCACCCGAACACTGAGCATTTGCAACTGTTTGCTGTGTTTGGTATTAAGAAATTTTTTTGAAAAATTTTAATCAGATATCATTTGTCGACTTTTGTCTGTTCTCCTTTTTGAATGTAATGTCAGCAATTTTCTTCTCCTCATTTTTTCTTTCTACATAGAATTTTTTCTTCTTTTTTTGTTTTATCCAAATTCTATAGAACATAAAACTATTTGTTTTGTTTTGTAAAACCACTGGAAAAACATTGTTTTAAGGTATTTAAAAAAAAGAAATTTTTTTTTTCATTTTGCTTTCTAACTTTTCCCGTCAAGTGATAAGTGCTTATTAAGACATCTGCTTGTTGATTGAAAAAATAGAGAAGAAAAAAATTTATTACCCCATTTACTGTCAATTATACACATCACATTTTGCCAGACTTTAAACACTGTAATAAGGTGTTAATTTACTAAAAATAATTATTGTCTCAGATGTTCAGTTGAAATTGAAGCGCCGATGAGAATCTTATATACATCT